TACTTAAATGAATAGAAGGATTGGTTATATATATATATATATATATATATATATATATATATATATATATATATATATATATATATATATATATACTTGCTTACGCCTGTTGATCCTCATCGATGAGGATGGACCATTCAGCAACATTTTCCATCCAAATCTGTCGTGGATAATTCTGTTCATTTCTTTCCAGTTGCTATCCATCCTTTTCATGTTTGCTTTCAATTGTCGACATAGTGTGTTTTTCGGTTCTCCTCTTTCCGGTTTCTATTTAGGATTCCAACTTAGAGTTTACCTCGTGATGTAGTTTGATGATTTCCTTAATGTATATCTTATCCATTTGCATCATGTTTGCCAAATTTCCTTTTCATTTAGGTGTTGGTTTATCTTTTCTTAGTTCTAATTGGATTTGTTCTTTTTTTTGTTCTTTTTGTGATGGATGATTAAGATAATTATGATTAATCAATAGTAAAAAATGTTTAATAGTTGAATTCATGAGTCGATTTCAATGACACAACCATTGGAAAACTTGGAAGCATTGGACGGCTGTTTTGTCTTAGTATAAGACTCTTCAGCATGCTGTTGAAATGTAGTGTCATTAAAAGTAATCCATAAGATGTTTTACACAATAATCAGAATGAATTCATCAGTTCTAGATTTAAGGTATCCAATAGATCGATTTCACATTTGTTTAACCTCTATATGTATTGTATGCAATTCTGAGTTATTTAGACTACTGATTAGATTGTCAGTTAGTATTATTGTAGTGAAGGAGAACACCAGTAGGGACAATCAAATACATTTGAACATAAAATTTTAAAAACTCTTCGTAAAATCTGATGACAATAAGATTGTCTCAGACTTCATTGTTCTTTCGTTTCCACACCAATCATTCTCTGGTCTCATTTTCTTTCCTTTGATTTTCACTTTCTGTTGATGATACATACTACTTATATCTGTCGACATCAGTAGCACACCCCACAGTATGTAATAGACAAAAGTGATGTTCGGCACTACTTAACGACTAAATTCAGTAAAGGTAGGATGTATCTTTAAATGGGACAATTATTCATTTGACGCCTATTATTGTGATGTTGTATATGTTTGACTATTCACTAAAACATATATATTTCCTACGTTTGAGGTAATGAATTTATTGGATTTGTAAACCATAGAATAAATGACAAATTAAAGATCACCTATGCAGCTGATAGGCTTATACTTTCAGATGAAACAAAATGCCCGCTAAAATAAATCGAAAATCAACGAAACCTATTTCCATGTTACATCTAGCTATAATCTATATGTTATACATACTTACACCTGCTACATCTCGTAGTATACAAGCCATAAAACTACGAATCCCAACCTTCTGTGTTGTAGGTTCTACATTCCAGTCATCCCTATGTGGTATTCATTCTTTCAGTGCCTGTCTCTGAATTCAAATCAATCTGTCTTTTGGTTATCCAGTTTTTCTTTTGCATTGAGGAATTCAATTTTGAGGTTTTCTTGTGATGTAGTTCGATGATTTTCATAAAAAACCTATTTAACACTTTCAAGGTTATCATCTTTATTATTTGATGAAAACAAAGAACTTTTCTCATTTCTTCAAAACTTTCTTAATAGTCTATCAACATTCACTTGGTATTGTTTTGCTTGAATCTTCCTATTGAGGTTTAAGACTGCAATTGATCAGTCTGTTACTGGCATATGTACATACTGTACGTATTACCTTGATATTGCCTTAATTCACAAGCATTACAAACGAAGATGGATGGATAGTGGCTAGCAGTGGAATGCAGTTTGACACGCGCTTCGTTTTCTTTGGAACTCGTCAGCTGGATGTACTGAATCTCAGAGTTGATGTTCACTCTAAGACTCGAACTCAATATCATTCGCATCAAACACTATCGCCTGCTAACATTTTTCTCATAGTTTACAACATGAACTGATTGTAGTTAAAGAACCATTTAAAACCAGAAAACACTGAAGGTTTCTCACAATTTACTATGCATCATATTATGGTTCGATATCAGATCATATAAACTTTACAAGGGAAATCACTGAATCACATCTATATGTAATTTTAATCAAGATTATTGCTCCTTTTCACACAAAAACACAACAGTAATTTACTTAATACTAACTAATATACGATTAAACTATGAATATTCAATTGAACTCATCATCGTAGATGCACCCTACTGAGAAGTCTCATACGAGGACGAAATCATCATTCAATGCTTTCAGATTTTCCAGAATCATCTAGCCTTATTAAACTGATGAATTCAACTATTAAAAATAACTAAAAATCTCTACAACATACCCCTCCCATTTTCTAATAAGATTTATTCAACTCTAAAAATTGATTAGTTCAATTAACTAGATAATTAGATTTCTAATGAATTCCTCATAGAGATAGTTGGTGGTGTTCCTTTTGTTGTTGTTGTCAAGTAGAAAATTTTTTCTAGTTAAATTCTTTTTTCATAAATTATGTAGTTCGATTAGTATAATTCAATTACTGTCATGATTAAATCCGGGTTCTCTTTTTGTGTATTTTGTTTAAACGTTTGATTCTTTTTTTTTATTGTTGTTGTTGTTCCATTATTGAATGCTACATGTAAGTTATAGAACAGAAAATCTGTTAGTATGAATGAATTAATTAGATTTAAGATGAGAAGTCTTGGATATTGGAGGGATATTCCCTCATTCATTTGATGAAAGAGCATTATGGTACTGAAGTTGATCAATCAAGGTTAGATATTAACATCGCTGGGCGCTGGTTCAACGGTCTAGAAGTTAAGTGTTAATGTGCGAAACTGAATGTTCTGTGTTGGAGTCGGTTTGGTGTGAGATCGTGGATGCGCATTGCTGAGAAATCTTATGGTAGGATGAAATGGTCGTCCAGTGCTTCTAAGTTTTCGATGGTGGTCAAACATAGATCGATTCATGAACTCAACTATGAAAGTGCTATCATTTCCACAAATTCCCATAATGATACAAATAACAGTTTGCATTATGAATTGACTTGTAAACATAGAAGCACAAAACAGTTATTGAACCTTATTATGTAAAACTCCAGTAGTACACACCCATCAATGATCAAGTCTACATCGTTAGTGCTTCTTGATTTTATAACAAGCATCAAAAACACAAATGTTGTAAGTTGTCTTCCATAGATTAAATTCCCTGTTTTTAGAATCAATGTCGATGACAGTTGGTCACTCACTACAAACATATCTATGTACAAATCAATATTTATGCATTATGAAACAAAAACGTAATCGATATCTAACTGTGATGTAACATTCTCGTCGACTGAATTCTCGTGTATTGATCTCCTACCAGGAGGTCCACTTATCGACTTAGAATACGCAGATGATATAGTCCTGTTTGGTGAAGACGCTGACAAAATGCAGAGTCTTCTGGTAGCACTAAGCAACAATGCCAGAATGTTTGGAATGCGCTTCTCTCCCTCGAAATGCAAGTTGTTGCTTCAGGACTGGTCTGCGTTAACACCTGAACTAAGAATAGAGAGTGAAGTAGTCGAACGCATTGACAACTTCACTTATCTTGGAAGTCTGATCAGCCCTAATGGGTTGGTGTCTGACGAAATCTCAGCACGGATTCGAAAAGCTCACTTGGCTTTTGCCAACTTACGTCACCTTTGGCGAAGGCGAGATATCCGTCTATCAATAAAAGGACGAGTATACTGTGTGGCAGTCCGTTCTGTTTTACTTTACGGCAGCGAAACATGGCCTTTAAGAGTAGAAGACACTCGTAAGCTATTAGTATTTGACCACAGATGCCTTAGAAATATTGCTGGCGTCTGCTGGGATCACCGGGTAAGTAATAGTGAGGTTAGACGCAGGGTATTAGGGAATGATTGTAAATCAGTTGATGAGGTTGTGAATTTTCATCGACTGAGATGGTTGGGTCACGTATTACGTATGCTTGAACACCGATTACCACGACGTGCAATGCTAACCGGTGTTGGAGATGGTTGGAAGAAAGTTGGGTGCGGCCAAACCAACACGTCACCAAATTTTAGTCTGAGCCATGTTGGTAGATGCAGACTACTTGGTTGGTGTCCGCGTGACAATCGTAAGCAATGGTTGGAGACTGTTGGTGACATGGTTCAGAATCGATCACAATGGCGTCGGTGTATACACTCACTGTCTTCCCTTAAACTAAGAGATTAAAATCACTTCATATCTTTCTTTCTACGAACTAATTCTTTCTTCCTATACTATATCCTTATTGCCATCCTTCTTTTATATATTACCACCTCTGAATTAACCACTTATATGAATCCGGTGTTCATCTTGTTGTGTTAATGAGGTGTGGCAACTTGGACCGATGCATGTGCCTGGTCCTATGTTGTGGCTGACTGACTGAATTGAATATCAGTCAATGAATTACACTGATACACGCATACATACATACACACACTTGAAAATACACAATAAAGACTCGATAAATCAAGTTCTGTTGCCAAATAATTCGATTTATTTAGAAAAAAACTGAGATATTTTGGAAACTTATAAATTAGTCGAGCTGTTTAGCATAATTGATTGCGCTAGGGATTGATGTTATGATTGTGTTGCTTTGGTATTGAGTTCATGAATCGATCTATATTAGACCACCATGGAAAACCTAGAAGCACTAGACGGCCATTTCGTCCTAGTTAAGGACTCCTCAGCTGTGCGCATCCACAATCTCGACTCGTGGGATTCGAACCGACGACTTATCAGTCTCGAGCGCGAACGTTTAACCTCTAGATCACTTAGTTGACATCCAACGATGTTAATATCTAGCTTCAATTGATTCACGATCTCAACGATTGAGATTACCAAAATCTCCACAAAACCTCTTTCTGATTTCATATGCTACTTAATGAGATTATTCAATCATTTAAAGATTATGTATATCATTTCATTTTAACTATGATATTCTTCTTTGGCTTTCTTTTCTCTTCTTTATTATCTTTCTATTTAAAGATATTGTCTTATCTGGATTATATGAAAAACGTTTATTAAAATATTTATTCGATTCCAGTCGACCAGATGCACATAATCCAATTGAACGTCCATCAGCAAATGATACAGAAACATTGAATGTTAGTGTGAAATTTTTCTTAAATCAAGTTATGGATGTGGTAAGTTGAAATTCGTTTATCGATACTTATAATAATAAACATTCATTTGATATTATAAGCAAAAGATGAATAATGCCTAGTAGTATTTATTTACTTATTTGAACACATAAATATTGGTACAAGGGGGCACCAAATACATATGCGACACACAAATCTCATTAGATTCGTGTGAGAGATATGATACTGCCCGAGTTCCCGAATCGAAGCAGGTGGTTTTCTAATGGGGCCACACCCGGAGCCTTCGACCTAAAGGTCTGATCCACAAGGCAGTGGAGCAACGTCAGGAGATGCAGTCCGATGGTAACCATTGACCAAAAACAGGTTCTTACGTTATTAGTTCCGTCAGGATACTGGAGCCCATGTGCACCATTGATTTGGAATCAGAGATTTCCAACTCCCCTAGGTGGACTCACTGTGTCCACCAACCAGGTTAAAGCCCCCACCGGACATTCGCTTTTCGTCCTCTCAACTTCGTAAACAACACCCGTAGTGCGAGGTAGTGAGTAAGACTTCCCTGGCAGAGGCTATATACGCGTGGCCATGTGAAAGCATTTCGAGAGGGAGAGCGGACCCTTCACACTCTCGACCGTACCAGGACGTTTGGGACCTAGTAGTGGAAGACGGAATGTGAGTTTCGTCCTATTAGAGATTCGTCAGTTGGGTGTAACTGTATCTTAGATGGGATACGTATTCTGGGACTTGAACCTAGTACCATTCAGTCTAAATGTCATTGCTTTATTTACTTAGCTACTGAGTCCTGATAGCCACTAGATCATACAATGGAGTGTATATATATAACACAGAAAATGAACTCGTTGTACAAACTATTTTTAGATCATGTCATGAAGTGATTTGATTAATTTTATGTCATAGAGACTTCCGATGTGATTGATACTAAGGTTTCAATTTTATATCAATTGATAAACATGGTATGTTATAAAGGCTGTGATGTAGTATAAAGGGAAGGTGAATATGCATCTCTTATCAAACTGAGGAAATTGGTGTTCCTACGGAATCATCCTTTAAACTAGATGCTTATCACTTGTACAAAAGATGTTGATCACAACCAAATGACACTTAGCAATTAAGTGGAGAAAAAGGATAATAATCTAAACTCTATGTAAAAAGCAATGCGGACTATGTAACTCATAAGTTACCATGCCTTAGAGCAGACTGTATTTGTTCATTCAGAAGATTTTAGATTGTTCAAGTATTTCAAACTATTTTCTACGATTGTTTAATCTCATTTGTTTCCAATCTACTTCAAATTGAACACCTAGACGATTGAAGTTTGATATTAATCCATTCAAATTAGTTAACTAACAGAATAGGGTTGTGTAGATTGTTAAGTTTTTTTTTATTGAGATCATGAATCAATTAATGTTAGATGAGCAATGAAAACTAGGAAGCAATGGAAGACTATTTCATCCTAGTATACGATTCCTGAGCAGTGTGCATCCACGATCTCTCACGAAAAGGATTTGAACCCAGGACTTTTGGTCTCGCGGGGGAAGGCCATAACCTATAGGCCATTGAAACAACACCTAACGGTGTTAATATCTAACTAACTGAATTAAAGTTCATGATGATATCATTAATTTACTGTATGTATATTTCTGACAGAGGTGTTTTGTGGATATTATAGTAATTTGGTAGTCGAATTAATGAGTCAGTTGAACCTAGACCACCGTGAAAAACCTGTAGGCACTGAATGGTTGTTTCATCCTATTATGTGACTCCTTAGCAGTGCGCATCAAGCGATCTCGAGATTCGAACCCACGACCTCTTGGTCTCGCGAGCGAGCGCTTAACCTCTAGACTACTTAGCCGGTATCTAACGGAATTCAATTACTAAATTACTATAATATCCACAACACTATTCGCTTATTATAATCATCATATGCTCACTATTGATGGTCTCCAAGAGGTATTTCCTGGAGTTCTAGTGAAAAGCCGTGACAAGCGGAATTCAACCGTGTTTGTTGTGAGATAGTAACTCACTGATAACAATAATGGATGGTGGCACAATTTCATGGATTGCTTGAAGTTAGACATTAACACCGTTGGATGTCAACACAGTAGTCTACAGGTTAAGCGCTCGCACATGAGACCAATAGGTCGTGAGTTCAAATCTTGCGATACGCATTACTAAGGAACCCCATAAAAAGACAAAACGGTCGTCCAGTGCTTCCAGGTTTGTCATAATGGTCTAGCTACAATTGACCCATATATATTTTCTTCTTTATTAAACACTTAATCAAGTATCTCTATTTGATATATATCTGTATATACACTCTTTTAAAAGGAAATATCTTCAAGTCAATGGTTTCTAACCAATTGAACAGTGAATAACACTTGATAGTTTCACTTTTACAACGTTATATACGATTTTTTTTCGTCTTGACATAAATGTGAATAAGGAATAAGGAAAAGAAAAACTTCAGAAAAACAAGAGAACATTCTTTTTTCTACTTTTTTCTTCTTTTTTCCTGTGTTTTTTTATCAAAGAGAAAATTTTTTACATGATTGATGAATCGTTTTCAAGGATACTTGATTATTAACCCATAAATTAGAAATCATCAATTGATATTAAATATGAAAAAAAGGGGGGATGAATTTGAGAAGGGGCGAAGGGGGTGGGGTGGGGTGGGGTGTTCGTTGGTTGGGTGGTTGGGAGGGAGAGTTCAATATTGAATGGTTGGAAGCATTTGTAAGAAAACTTAAGTTTTAAATGATTAGTTGCCAATTGTTAACAAGCTTTGTCTTAAGACTTTCAATGCATGATTAGAGTTGGAATCAATTATTGTTTTGATCATTAATGATACTGTAGCGGGGGACAGTCGAATATATTTGAACATAACATAACAGAGTATCTTAGTAAAGTCTAAGAACCATACTATAAATAATTTATTTGCATAATGTTAATCGATCGTTTAAGACTTCATTGTTCTTTTGTTTTCACATCAATTATTCTTTGTTCTCATTCTTTTTTTTCGACTTTCTTAATCTTCTGCCACCGGATATTTGACTTTCTATTGATGATACATACTACTTATATCTATCGATTTCAGTAACATACATCACAATACCAATGAGCTACTCGGACTATGATTGATGTCTTTTACTACTGAAGTATTAACCTTAACTAACCGATTTGATTGAATACTATCAATGACGTTGTGATAAGGCGTCTATTTATATGGATAGGGATTGTTACTCAGTGATTATTAAGTGTAGGAATGAAATTCGTCAATGAAATTGTAATTGATCGAATATATTTACTATCTTAGTATCAGACCAAGGTGTTAGATAAGCTTCTTGTAAGATCATTTGAGTAGATTACGCAATCAGTAAATACAATTTATCTCAAAAGGTATACAATGTGTATGATATATATTTGACAGAGAACTGTGGAGAAATTCTTATGTGTACATCTAAGCTTCCTGGCTTATTCGATCCCGTGTCTATGAAGTTCGAATTTATGGAATCGTATTTGCTAGTGAGCATCAGTTTTATCAAGATTATGGGTACATCTTGTAAATGAATGCCAAGCTGAATGAAACCTAGGTTCAGAGCTTTCTGTCGACTACCTTTGACCACCACCTCACATCTCTGTATAGTGCACGTAATAACGTGTCACTTAGACTACTGGCCACATTGCAAACTGATCGACACAATTCGATCAACACTAAGAAGGAAGGTCACTACTTAGTAATCGATCAATTTTTAACATACCATCCTGTCCTTATAACATCTCTTTTAATTCTAAAATATATTTTATATGCCCATTCTATGGTGATCGTTACTCATTTATCCAAAAAACAGAAGAGAAAGAGGTAAATAATCAAATCAACTTGATAGTAGATCTTGAGCTTTTCAGGAATTTAATTTATGACATGGTGAAAACATTTCTTGAATATACCTAGGTATATGCGATTGATAAACGTAGTTGGCTGATTTAAACAAGTCTAAAAGCGGGAAAATTCGGATAATCGATGGAAAATTAGTGGTTCAGAGGTTTGAGAACAGGTCGCCACATGTTTTTTTTCGTTCAAGTTATTTCTTCTAATGTTTAATGAAACTTTTATGTGCTTCACAAATGTTTAGAGTAAAACACTATTTACTGAAGTAAATATTTTCTGATCAGACTACTGATATGCATGAAAAAAATATTCGTTAAAGGATGAATTCCAAGTGAAGACCGGTGTCAGACAAGGTTGCTTACCCTCTCTCACTTCCTCATTTTATTGGTGGTTGACTGAATTTTGAAGACCTTCACATCTGAAAGGAAGCACAAATTACAATAGACAGTTTGGATTCAATTAGACAATTCGGACTTCATAAATGACCTATCCCTTCTATCTCAAACACGCCAACAAATGTAGGTGAAGACAGCCAGTGTAGCAGCACGTACTGCAGTCGTAGGTCTTGACATACACAAAGGAAAAAGCTAGGTTCTAAAACACAGCATAGTGGGCAGTAACTTAACTACTCCTAATACCATCATCAAAAAGATATAGAATATTTACAAACAGTAGTCTAAGCGGGATAATTCAGATTCACTGACCGAATACCATCAACAATTGCCTACCGTGGCAGCGAACAAACAAACTGCTAAAATCATCAAACTACATCAACAAAGCATCCTTGAATTAGAACTCCTTATGGCAAAAGAGAAAAGCCAAAGATAAACTACACCCAAAATTACAAACAGACATTGAAAGAATGAATAACACTTAAGGACAACTTGTAAGTAGAATCCACAATAGAATTGTATTAGTTCATATACAAAATCTGAAAACCATTTATATTGACAGTCAATTATTCTTTTTCTTTTTAAATTTAATTTTGTATTTAGGATGAAAAAAATCAAGTGTTGACAACAATTATATGGATGGATTTAGTAAGTAGTATATTACATCTAATCAATATGAATATTTTGATCGAAAATAATTCTATTATCCTTATACAATAATATTGCATGATCCTGATTTATTGATCAGATAAGCTAACACTGATTGAATTATCCAACATTCTCTAGCAGTAGTAGTCGTCGTCATCGTCAACGACATCATCGTCGCCGTCGTCGTCGTCGTCGTCGTCGTAGTAGTAGTAGTAGTAGTAGTAGTAGTAGTAGTAGTAGTAGGCATTCATCCGATCAGAAACACATTATGTGACTAGTCAATTTATAGATGTTTCTGGCAAATCTTCTATTGAATGTTAATTGAATAAGATGTTTCTCAGTGCTCTTAGAGATTTTTTCGAGGAGTTTTCCCGATCTCCTCAAAAAAGTAGCTAATATAGTTCCTACATTATTAACTCAGAAAATTAACATGATTGTGCATATTAACTAATAGATCACAATGGACCATGAACGTAACTCTGAATAACAAGCTTCTAACTAATTTAAGGACAGATGATATAACAATTATAAATAATAGTTGAATTCATGAGTCAATTGATGTTAGACCACCATGGGAAACCTGGAATCACTGAACCACCGTTTGTTTTAGTATGGGACTCCTCAGCAGTGAGCATCTACGAAACCGCCTTTCTGATAATAATAAATAAGTCAAATGAATGCCGACGTTTAGGAGGATATAAGATTTCAATGAATATGTGTTAAAAATATAAGCACTGATCTACTAAAAACTAACTTCAAAATGTTTTCTGTCTCATTTAAATATCTCTTCTGATACTAAATTTTTAATATATACTTGGATAGTTTACAAGCAAAGATGGTTGGTGGCTAATAGAGGAATACAAGATGCGCGTTTCGTTTTATTTAAGAATCGTCAGATGGATGTACCTGCATCTCAGAGTTGATGTTCACTCTAGGACTTGAACCCACTACCGTCCACCTCCAACTTCATCATGTTATCCACTTCGCTAGTGAGTCCTGATAGCCACTAACTTGTCCAATGTAATGAAGTTGAAATTCACTTAATATCGTTTACTTGAATCTTCCCATTGATGTTTAGAACTGCAAACAAGTGGCTATCAGGACTCAATAATTTTGTGGATAAGGTGAAGGCGTTTAAAGTGAATGGTATTTGGTTCCAGTCCTAGAGTGACTATCCATCTGACGAGTCTCAAAGAAGATGAAACGTGCGTCAAACTGCATTCCACTGCTAGCCACTATCCATCCATCTTCGTTTATAATGCTTGTGAATTAAGGCAATATCGAGTCAATACGTACAGTATGTACATATGCCAATAACAGACTGATCAATTACAGTCCTAAATAAAAATGGGAAGATAGAAGTAAAATGACACCAAGTGAAATATCAATCTTATTTGAATTATTTATTGTTGTACTTGATCATCTTTAAAGGTATTCAGTTAACTAAACTTCAGTACATTTATCACTCAGCTAAATTCTTGAGTTCTCTAGTTCAAATCATAATATATTAGAAAACTGACTAGTCTATGATCAGGCTTGGTGATAAACTGTACACAGATATACTGAATAAGAGATCTTGTTAAATCTTGTTCACTTTATTTCCATGCACAGTAAACATCCTTCAATTGTAACCTTCTTTAAGGAGAATAGACTGTTGTTGTTATTACGTTTTTCTCACTTTAAATTTTCATTGGAATAACATTCACTAATTGACCGATTATACAGTTATTGACAATTACTTAGTTAATAACACCTGTTACTCCCAGTGGAGCACATACCACCGACCAGCATTCTCCAACCCACTCTATCCTGAGCCTTTCTTTCTCATTCTATCTAATTGTTGTTCATTCTTCTCATGTCTTTCTCCATTTCTCGGCGTACTGTGTTCTTTGGTCTTTCTCTCCTGCTTTGACCTTGAAGATTCCAAGTGAGGACTTGCCTTGTGACACAGTTGAGTGATTTCCCCAATATATTTCCTAACCACTTCTAGCACTTCTTCATGATTTCTTCCTCTTCTAGGATATGGTTTATTCGCTCTCGCACAGTAGGTTGTTGCTGATAGTATCTAGTCAACGGATCCGAAATATTTTGCATAGACAACTGTTAATAAACACTTGTATGTTATAGATGATGACTTTAGTAGTTCTCCAAATTTCCGCCCTCATACAATATACATATATAATCGTAGCATAGATTTGTATATACGTGTACTTATGTATTAGAATATAAAACAACTAAGGTGAATCTAAATCATTGACAATAACCTATTCACTGTTGTTATTATTATGTTCATAATTGTAATTACTAATTGTATATGGAACAACAACGACAACAACAACAACAACAAATTGATAAAGGTAACCAAATGATGAAGATGATGATGATGATCATCATCATCATCATTATAAACAACATTTGTGACAAAATATCAACGAATATATGACAGTTACAAATGAATAACAATAAAAATTCATTCATAATGAATAGAGGGTAAAGAATAGAATTGTGTAAAATTGAATGAAACAAAATATGAAGAAGTATGTGTGTGTGTGTGTGCATATGTGAAAGAGAAAAAGAGAGAGAGAGAGAGAGGAGTAGGTGATGAATGAAAGGTATACACTAATCACCAATTATAGCATATAGTATACAAACAACTTATAATCCTTCACTCCCCCCTCTCTCTCTCTCTGTTTCTCTGTGTCTCTCTTTGTACATCTAAAGGTTACACATAATTATGCACTAAAAAACAAACAAACAAAAGTGATTATATAACTAGGATACTAATAGTGTGTGCCATCTATACCATCTATGATAAGTCACAGATTTATGTCAGCTGTTTCATTATTTTAAGATTCATTCATTTGGCACAAAGTACATACTTACTTAGTAAAACTTCACTGGGTTTTTGTTTTGTTTGTTTTAATCTTCTTTTCTTAATGTTCGTTTAAAGTTTCATACAGTTTCCTTCTTTGGTTTGTTTATCAGTTTGATAAATGTTAACGTTTTTTTGTTACTAAGTATTCAATTTAAGTGGATTGTCATGATATGATCTACTTTCATTTGACAAGTTACGAATAGGAAGTAAAGAACATCTTGGATTTTAATGTCATTCACAATTCTTACTTACTTACGCCTGTTATCCCACCCCTGTGGAAGAGTATAAGCTATTCACCAGCATTCTTCATCCAACTCTATCCTGGACAATCCTATCCAGTTACTATTCATCCTTTTCATGTATGCTTCCAATTCTCAACGCAATATGTTTTTTAGTCTTTCTGTTACCCATTTCCCTTCACGATCTGACGGTTGCCTTGTGATGTAGTTTGGTAATTTCCTTAATGTGAGTCCTATCCACTTCTAATTTGGTTGGCTTGTTCTCTTTCACAGTAGGCTTAAAAAACAACACTTACCAGTCACAATCCTAATATACTGAAAATCTATGCGTTTTTATGTTTAAATGTACAGTGTAAAAGAAGTCATAAAGCGGACACCCGCTTCATCTTCGCCTGCATGAACATTAATTAACAGTCAAACGCCATGACATGTCCTCACTTATATCAATGCAAGTGGACAACTGCGGACGTATATTCGACCGAAAAAAATTGGAGGTTTTGGATAGAGGCAATTCCAAAAACACCAGAGAATTTTTAGAAGCTTGGCATTCAGGTCAATCAGCAATAAACAACCACATTGAAATCGATCCAATTTATCAACCAATCAGGAAAATTATGGACAAATATGGGACCAAGAATCAAATCAATGAGAGATACAACCAAAACAAAGAAGTAAATAATGACAAGTTTAAGGTCAACAAGAACCAATCAACATCGAGGTGTACAGGACAAGCTATGAACCACATGTGGGGAAATTCGAACATTTCACTTCTACCTGAATGTTATGCTGATGACGATGTCGTTCAGAAGAACGATGAAAGCTCTACGACTAAATCATCCAGTTCAGAAAACAAAACTCCATCAAAGTCACAAAATTAACTAGTTTCGTGTAATGTCATAAAGTCACCAATGATCATCGTTTAGAAACTCTCAAACAGATATACACAACTGTTCGATACTCTCTTAATTTTCAATCGTTATTGCATAAACCGAAACCCCCAAAATAAACAGTATTTACGTAAATATCAGGGATAACTTCGAGATTCCTAAAGTTAGGCTTACTTTCCTACCCAGAGTGTTGTATAATCATCATTTTATGTTGTAGATTGACTGAAGCTGAAAATCAATATCATTAGATTACAAGCAACCGCTCATATGGTATTACGCTCATCGATTCAATCCTGTGTGTTGTTAATGTATATTCACTACTGAAAAAAAGTCCAAAGTAGTATAAAACAGATATTCAATGCCTTTGTTTTTTTTCAATGGTCAGTCAAATAATGTGGTGAAAAACTGCCAAAAACTCGAAGGTATTAAACGGGAAACCCTATTCAACCTAATTTTCATAATATTTGGTACGAATAGGCAGTAATGTAATGTCAAGAAAACTGTTGCACCTGAAATGTTCGAGTACTTACTTATTGATGCCTGTTACCCGTCATAGAAGAGCATAGGCTGCTCACATGCATTCTCCATCCAAATTCGAGTACAGTTTATTCAGTTCCTCAGTATGAAAAGTTAGTAGTGAGCTCTTTGGGCCACGATAACTTTTCTGAGGGGCTGAGATATTTACGCTGGTTGATTACTGACTAATATCATGACTATTCATGAATCAGAATGTCCTACGGTATTCTATCGATAAAAACTTATGGAAAACGTTAGTTTTAAATTTTCAAGAAACTGTCTTTAACCAACCTCTGAAAGCTTGTAACCCATTTCATCAAGTTTTATATTCAAAAAACAGTTGAAGGAATCTGTATATGAACCATTGTATTTTTATTTATGTAATTCAAGCTCATATTACCTTGTGTTACAATCAGAGTCATTTCAATCTCAACTGACTTATATAAGTATTGTAGATGTATGTGATAATGAAAGATGACATAT